TGCATCTCCATCAGTAACTATATTCTCAAGGACCTGTCCAAGTCCTACCTCATTTTTAATAGCCCATTATTTAATAGCATTTAAGATTTTATTTTTTGCTTCTTCGTCCATATGAAAATCCCATCCTCGAAGCCATCCAATAAAACCACATATAATGACATTAGCAATTTCGTGGTCTTGGTTTCCATTTGCTTTACATGCGGTGGCATACATAGTCATATGTTTCATGAGATCGAGAATTTGATTATCAGACATTCCATCTATAGTCCAATTTACTATGGATCGTCTTGAATAAGAGGCTGAAATAGTAATGAGGTCATCCTCTATTTGTAGATCTACAAGAGTGGGCTTAAGAAAATACATTATTGTTGGGGCTACAGGCCTAGTTTTTCTCCCATAGTCAATCATATTAAGCTCTAAGCTTTTTGGTTTAAAAGCTTCTTCTATTTTAGATATTTTAAGATCAGAAAAACTTTTATCTTGTTGAAGAATTTGGACATTATCTGATTTTTCTTTAATATCTAATTTTTCAAATCTTTTCATCATCTCATCTACCAATTCTTTATTGTCTTCTTTCTTTTTAATTCCTTACAGGTTAAATTTTCCTGCGGCAATACTAGAAGGTGGTTTGAATAAAACTGCACTATTTTCTTTATCTTCTTTCTTCTCTTGAGGTTTTATTTTATTTAAGACGTTTTCTATTCTATTGGTCTGTTTTTCTCTAGTCTGTAGGAATAAATTTTTATAATTATTCTGTTCTATTATATGGGGTATGGCTTCAATTTTAGCCATCTGGTTATCAGAATCTTTTAGTCCAATTTTGAAAGGTGAAGCTTTTATTTCTTGTTTTTCTCCTTTTAAGTTTAGACTAGTTTTAGGAGGATGGATAACTTTAATGCTTTATCCTTTTACTGTATGAAAGGTGTTTTGGACAGTATTAATATTCTGGATAGTATTATCCTGAAATTCTGGATATTTTATTCCTTCCTTTTTAAGAATATACCTAAGCCATTTAAAGAATTTTCTATTTGCTTTATGTTGTATCATGAATTTATTAAATTTAATATGAAAGAGTTCTTTCAGTCTTTTATTAAATTATTTGAGAAACCATTCCCCTATTTGTCTATTTTCTTCAGACAAAAAATCTCATTTTACCCATTCTTCATTGATGACAAACTTATCTTGGGTTTGAATTGTCAGAACTTTGAAATCAAATTTAAACATGGTTGGCTCATCAGGCTCAGTCTGAGAAGAGCTGAGAGTATTTACAGTATAAACAGGGTGTTGTACCTGTTTTTCATTTTTTCTTAATTATTCTAAAATGATTTTGTCATCATGCGCTTTTTCATAATTAGATTGAGGTACTGAAAAAGTTGAACTTCTAGGAGTATAAGTTGAAGGTTCAATATTCTTGGCTGGCAGCCTAGGACCTAAAACAGTATTTGGAATACTCAATCTGGTTCTTCTAAGGGATACAATATTTGGAATACTCAATCTGGTTCTTCTAAGGGATGGAAATTGGATTTCAATTTCTCCATTTAGATATTCAATTATTTGTTTTGGCTCTTTATTTTTTGGAATAGGTAAACGAGTCTTAGTTTGTAGAGACCAATTTTAAGGTAAGTTTAAGTTTACTTGCTTTCAGCATATAACTTTAGGCGTGACAAGATTGGAGTTTTCCATATTAGTTTGAAAAAATATTGTTTGTCCCTTTTTATCCATTAATTTTGCATTAAGATAAAGAACGTTCATGACCTTATCACAAATTCTATAAATAAAAGCCAAGTTTTGGGATCCAAGGTCGATGTCAAAACCTTGAGTTTTAAGGTTAAGAGTTAAAACTTTAAATAAATTTGGATCAGATAGGGACACAGAAAAATTTAGAAAGCAGTTGAAATATATAGGTCCATTGCAGACACTCGACTCAACGATCCCTAAAAGAGTGTCACTGAATCTTCTATGCCTACTATCTCTTAGACAGAGTAAAACCGAATTATTTAGTCATTCTCTATTTAATGGTTTTACTGCTATTTATACAAGACCTATATGAAGTTAATTATAACCCCTTTTGATATGATCTGCAATCATTCTAGTTGAAAAGAGTTGAAAGCTATCTTGATTTTCCATAACTGAAAGAGTTTCTTCAATCATTTTTATTGAAAAATTGCTTTTAAACTCAAATGTTCCATTTTTATAAACATCATTTGTGAGGACCTTTGGGATGTTCCAATTTTGCAGTTGTTTATCAATAAAATCTATTATTATTTCTTCTCTATTTTTTACTCGTAGAGTATTATTATTAGAACTACCATAAGCGATTTTATTTGATAGTGTTCTAAATAAATTTTCCATTTTATATAAGTTTTCTTTTCCTGAGTCAACCGGAAACAGTCCCTGCACCTTACGGCCTTCTTGGCTCACGGTGGTCTTTGGGTCACAGTGACTTTAGGTATGTTAACAAGATAAAATGTACAAATTGGTTCAATTTTCTACTGAATAAATTGGCTCTGATACCATAAAACTCTTTCCAATGCTTATAGGCGAAAATGAACAGTGATTTTACCTATCCTCATCACCATTCAAACTTCAACGCATGGTAACAGTTGAAATTTGGAGTGTGTGTACATCTTAGTGAGGCGCACTTAATAAAAATATGAAAAAAACAAGTCACAAAATATAAATTTATCAAAATACCCCCGTAAAGTATCGGGGGTATTTTGGTCAATTTATATTTTATGAATTATTTTTTTCATATTTTTATCACTAAGATGTACACGCGATCCAAATTTCATATCATTCCGATTAGTAAAAAAAATGAAAAATAAAACACTACCGGACAACTATGACCGTATGATAAAGTTTGGATGGTGATGAGGATAAGCAAAATCACTGTTCATTTTCACCTATAGGTGTTTTGTGGCATCTTCATATATATATATATATATATATATATATATATATAGTGTGTGTGTGTGTGTGTGTGT